CTCTTCAGCTCAAGGCCAGCGCTCTACCACTTGAGCCACAGCGCCACTTCCGGCTTTTTTCTTTTTGCTTATGTGGTGCTGAGGATTCGAACTAAGGGCCTCAGGCATGCAAGGCAAGCGCTCTACCACTGAGCCACCTTCCCAGCCCTATCTCAGTAAATTTTAAGCTATGATAGTGATAGGTTGTCTTTCATCATATGTCTACACAAGAATCTAAACACAGTTTAATACCAGTCTGAGCAACATTAAAATAGGAAATCGATAATTTTGAAAAGAAATTCATTTGTATAAACAAAGGAGGAGGCAATAATGCTTGGTAAGAAATGTACTCATTAACTTGCTCATGTAACTGTAACCCCTCTGTATAGTATTTTTCACAATAAAAACTTATAAAAAAAAGAAATTCATTTGTCTTTAAAGTCAACACTAATATGTTTTGATTATTCTTCCTTTTGGATTTCTATTCTACCACATTAATACTTGAGTAGATGTTCAGGAATAAAATATTTGTTCCATTGATATTGTTGTACATTAATTTAAAAATGGTTTCTTTTTTTATTTTTATTTTTTAATTTTTGGGCCCAGTCATGGGGCCTGAACTCTGGGCCTGGGCGCTGTCCCTCAGCTCTTCAGCTCAAGGCTAGCGCTCTACCACTTGAGACACAGCGCCACTTCCGGCTTTTTTCTTTTTGCTTATGTGGTGCTGAGGAATCGAACCCAGGGCCTCAGGCCTGCAAGGCAAGTGCTCTACCACTGAGTCACCTTCCCAGCCCCTAAAAATGGTTTCTTAATCATTTTCTTAGGATTTTCTTAGCCCAGAGGGAGTTTCTGAACTAATCTGTGGTGAATGGGTTTTGTTTGTCAAAAACAATGATGATTACATCAACAGTACCCAAATCTGTTTTGCCTGTAACATTGGACATAGTACAAATACCTGCTATCCAAGGGGAAGTATTTTTTCTTTAAAGTCTGCCATTTAAGAAAGTATAATTCTTTTAATTAAAAAAAGAAAAATTGGGATTTAAAATAAATTTTGGCATGCAATCATGATATATATCAGCTACTTGTTTTAAAAGTATATAGAAATAGTTGAAAAATCTGATATGACACTTTAACTTTTCAGATTAGAAAGAGAGTATTTCTCCCAAAACACAAAACTAAATGAAGAGATTGAGGAACAGAAGAAAGTAATTATAGACCTTTCAAAGAGACTCCAGTATAATGAAAAAAGTTGCAGCGAATTACAGGAAGAACTTGTAATGGTAAGAATAAAAATGAAAACCCTATGGCAGTTACTTTATTGGGTCATATTTAATGTGTAGCAAGTTTATTTTCCCCCCTTGCAATGTATCCTGAGATAACAGTGTGGAAGTAATTTTAGTGACATTGGTCCAAAATTTCAAGACTGGAAATGCAGATTAAGTCAAAGATGTACATGGTAAAACTTCTCTGATTTGGAATAAGTAGGGAAATGAATTAATTAGAAAATGTCCTCCCTTATAGAGTATTTAAAATACATACTCTTTTCTTTTTTAAAGTACATAAAACAAGTGGAAGGGAATCAGGGTTTATAATCTATAGATCTGATAATTTTGGAAGTTTCCTTTTTTACCTATTTTGTATCTGATCATTCTGTCTCAATTCTCTAATAATCTAGCTTTCACATGATCATATTTTAAGTTATAAAATACTGATCTGTTCTTGTCAACTGCTCTTTATTCAAAAAACATCAGTGTCTCCTGTATTTTCAGAATGAAGTCTAGCTTCCTATCATAACATCTGAGCTCCTTTTCCCTTTCCTTTTGCATGTTAACTGCTTCTTTTACTTTTTACTTTTAGCTGTCTCAATTGAGGCATATCAGATTACTCTGGGCTTTTAAAACACATATTTTTATATCTTATATATGTTTGGCCTATGAAATTTTAACTTAGGTTTACTTAAATGTTCCTTTTTTGTTTTCTATTAATAAACTTCTATATATCCTATAATGTCCAGCTCTGAGGTTTTGCAATCTGTAAAGCTTTCCAAAGTTCCACTTTTCCTTACTCATTTAGTCTACTTAATGTTATAATACCCTTCTCCTGCTGTGTTTCTTTATATTCAACTAAACATTTTTATCAAAATACCAAAATCAGATGTATATAATCTCTTCTAAGAGATTATGAATGCACTAAGATTAACTTAATTTATTTTATTTTCTGGTTTCTTATTAACATAAATGAATTGTACAAAGGTATTTCATTGTATTCTATCTGTCTGTCTGTCCCTCCATCCTATTACTATACTCTGATCAAATTTACTTTCTATTGCTCTTTATTAACCCATCTTTCTCCTTTCTTTCCCATTTATAAGTTTTTTCTTTAAAAAATTTTTTTTTGGCAAAGATACTGTACAGAGGGGTTACAGTTACATGAGTACATTTCCTCTTGAGCATTGTTACCCCTTCCTTTGTTTTTCCCCTATCATCCCTTCTCTCCCCACCTCCCCAACCTATCCCACTTCCTGAAGTTTTCATAGCTAAGATATGGAACCAATTTAGATGCCCCTCAGTAGATGAATGGATCAAGAAAATGTGGCGTATATACACAATGGAATTCTATGCCTCCATCAGAAAGAATGACACCGCCCCATTTGTTTGGAAATGGAAAGACTTTGAAAAAATTATACTAAGTGAAGAAAGCCAGGCCCAAAGAAGCATGGTTCCCCTTTAAAAGTTTTTGTTTTGTTGGTCATGGGGCTTGAACCCTGGGCCTGGGTGCTGTCCCTCAGCTCTGTCAGCTCAAGGCGTGCGTTCTACCATTTGAGCCACAGCACCACTTCTGGTTCTCTGACGGTTAATTGGGGATAAGAGTTTCCTGGTTTTTCCTGCTCATACTGGCTTTGAATCATGACCCTCAGATCTAAGCCTCCTGAGTAGCTAGGATTACAGGTGTGAGCCACCGGTGCCTGGCCCATTTAAAAGTTTTTAATGGTGTCGTTATAATTCATTTTATATTTGCAGATTTTACTGTAGTTCCTAACTCAGCAAGTATTTGGTTGATTCAGAACATACTACTCTGCAGTTTGCAGGGATCCTAACAGAGAGGCATGCATCTTGTTCTCTCCTTCTGTCTATAGTCTTCAGAGAGTTGGCTATTTCCCTTTTAGTTATGCCCAATAAATCTTAGTGATTTCAGTTATTGAGGAAAATGATTATTACTTTGCCTTCTCAAAAATGTAGAGACTCTGGAGTATACTAAGAATTAATGGCCAAACCATTGCTGCCTAGATAGAAAGGTATTGAGGGGTTAAATTAAGTCTTCAGCATTTTCAAATGGTCCAAAATTATATGTCCTCTCTATTCATCTCAAGTTATTTTGTATGTGATTCAATGTGTTTGATAGCCTTCTTTGCTCTGTGGATCAGTTGTAGTTTGAATAATTTGATTATGGAGTTTCAGAAATCTAAGAGTCTCTGTATAGTATGTTCTAGTGTGTATTCATTATATTTTACCTTAAATTTAATGGACTGTCCTACTGTATTTTTTTTTTTTTTTTTAGTAACCAGTAGAGATTAAATCTAGGGCTTCCTGCATCCTTAGCACATAGCTTTCTCCTGTCTTTTTTTTTTTTTTGTGGGTTGTGGGGCTTGAACTCTGGGCCTGGGCACTGTCCCTCAGCTCT